TAGTTTTATTTAAGAAAGGACTTGTATCGCTAAAGTTTCATCCGAAAGAAATTATACGGGAAATTAACAAACGACCAGAGACGCAACAGTACTTTCTATATAAAAAACAAATATAAGTTTAAAACATTCAAAGGAAAGTAACTCCGAATTGGTACCTCATCAAATGCCAATTGTCAAGACAGTTAAAAATATTTTTATTTATTCTAGGGGGCTCTAACAGATTAAGTTTTTTTTTATATTCTAGGGGGTTTATCTGACATAAATAATATTTCCCGTTTGTCATATATTTTTTCTAACCCATTTGTATTTTTAAGTTTTATTAAACAACAACTTTTATTTTTGGGGACAGGGAAAAGTGAATGGATATTTTTGTGTTAAATATATACAGAAAGATTTATGAACTTGGAAATATGTAGGAGGAAATAAAAAAACTCTCCTCCATTACAACTGTTTTTATCGGTCCATGGCGGAAGTCTATGGTCACGATACACATACACCTCGCGGGCTAGCGATAGTCATGTGAAAACATCTTGGCAGCCGATCACGTGACAAAAAATGTAAATCGTTCAGGATTACCATGATTTAAAGAAATCTCTGTGTGAACGTAAACGTCCTTGAAATTATAAACATCGGAAGCTAACAACTTTTTTTTTAATCATAACACTGATAACGTAACACAGTGTAATGACAGCATCAACAACGTATGTTGAACTTAAACTACAAATTTGATGACATAATCCTGAAAAAGATTAATTATTTTGGAGGCAAGAGTGGGATGAGTAACTATCGTTTTTTGTAATTTTTTAAACGACAAACAAGTGGTACTATACGTTCTCACGTATGCTTATGATTTTTGACTTGATTACGTAAGGAAGTGTAATGTTTCATCTCCTAGATCAAAGTTGGTCTTGTTTATTAAGACATTAAAACATGTCATTTAAATATATTAGATTTTATTAGTCAACATAGGTTATTTCTTTACATAACATATAATCAGTTACTACTTTAACGCCTAAAAAGCTAAAAACATCATGGTAAAGCTAATATAGCATAAATTCTATTTTCAATATTTTTGCGCAAATCAATCTGCGCATAACCATAACCATCCTAAACTTTTCAACTTATTGACTAGACTCAAGAGGGAAAGCACATAGTTGACAGCACCCACAGTCCATTAATGGGATACATTTCTCCGACCGAATGGTGGGATTTAACAGTCACTATTATAGTGTACCCACTACCCCAAGTAACGAGTGCCTTCTTGAGGCAACGGGGTGTGAACCACGAACCTCCGGATTCACTGTCCGGGTAATTTAACCCACTTGGCTATGCCCGGCCCTGTTATTATACACTGTTTGAATTCTATGCAAGTTATTTATACAACGTTGGTATTAAACACTGTTGAAAATATGCTACTACACAAATGATTACTGTAGTGTACGTACAGGTGAAAGCATAATTCACAAATTGTTCTCTGTGTTGTGATTATAGTACGTAGGAAGAACATTAAAGAAATTAATAGTACATTAAATACTGAATGCATATTTAATACGAAGTGTTATTGCGCCGTCAGAATTAGATAATGCTCTGGTGTTTTCCAACTAATTAGTTAAATAAATCCACGTTAGTTTAGGATGAGTAGAAGACCATTATTTCGCCCCCGCGAACAATCTTAATTAGCAGTATTTTGTGGGTCAGGGTCATCAGAAAAAATACTTCTCACGAACTTTCCATGCTTTACCTCTTACACCATAGTAGTACGAAGCAGGTTCAACTGGCTTATTCTAGAGATAGGCATGAAGGAGGTCACGAGTATTTTCTTCACCTTTAACCTCCCGAACATTTATCAGCATTAAAAACCCCGTTTTAACGGTACTTGTACCATTTTGCCAGGACCTCACGTACAAGCGCAGCGACACCTACAGCACGTTGATAACCATTCTTCGAAATTCCCATCTCGTCATCTTCAACAGATTCTTTGTGTACCACAAAAACCTGACCAACCCATGGTGAAGTTGCGTTCAATAGACTCGGGAAATAACAGCAACAAAATCTGGAGAGAGAGAAGTGTTAGCGCTAAAAAAAACACAACAAACAATGGGCAATCCGCCTGTAATTTTTATACACCATGTTGTTATGGGAACGAGCGTGAAATACATTTTACTCACGTCACGTAGGTCATCAAGGAAACATGGAAAAAAGTTAAGCACATGAAAATGCGATCACCGTGATTCATTTTTCACGACTATAATGTTACACGAAAAGATAAAGCAGTGAATAACATTAATAACGGAAAGCAAACAAACAAAAACACAAATGCTTTACGTTATTTCTGGCATGAGATTTCAGATTACTCACTATTAAGGTACCAAATTTTTCTTGTAAATGAATATTATATGCTTAAGAGTATCTTTATTCAAATCTTTTTTTTTGTAACCTGATGTAATTATAGTGAAAAGCTAAATATTTCAATGAGATAATAATTTCTGCGCTACAGTAACAGTTCATAATATATTGTTAAGTATTAGGCGCATTTGTAACTGACTTCTTATACAATGATTTGAACTTCTGCTGACCTATGACACGTTAGAAGAAGTTATTTTGCGGCTGCCCCAAATATATCACGCACACACGCATTAATTT